TTTAATTTGTCGATAACCATGTAGCTACTCACAACTAAGTCAGGTTTTGAAATCCGTTGATCTGACTCCGAGTATTGCTTCTTATGCACTGGGTGACCTTCAGGAATATACTTGGCAGCTAAAGGAGCTGAGTGATGCACGGGTTACGCGCTCACAGTTGAAACTCACCAGCTGCTCCCTGAGAGAAAGACTTGGAGATCTGCTCCTGTCAACAGTCAGCCTTGAGAACCCCCAGGGCGGTTTTACTCTGTCCTAGTGGATCACTGGGAGTCAGGATCCACTCAAAGGGTCCACACAGCTCTCTTGAACAAAATGGGAGTAACGACTCCAGGAGGGTAGGGGAAAGGAGGGTAGGGGAAAGGTGGGCAGTGGAGGGGAGAAAGAGGGAGCTGATTTAAATGATCGACACATAACCACCCTCCTCTCAGGGAGATGAATATTCATCTGCAACCATGGAGGAGGCGAGACAGCAGTTGGTGTAAATATGAAAATCATAATCATTTCTAATTTATCAAGGGGTTAAGAGGGTGGGGGAAAAGAGGAGCTGCTATCAAGGGCTCAAATAGAAAGTAAAAGTTTAGAAAATCATGGTGGCAACATATGTACAAATCTGCTGATAGAGCCTCAGATAAAATGATCTAAGGAAAAAGTCATTCAAATGGCGAACAAACATATGAAGAAATCTTCATAATCATTAGCCCTCCATGAGATGCAAATAAAAAAAGGATGAGATCACATTATACCACGAATGTCAGACCAATTTTTTAAAAAGACAAAATAACAAGTGGCAGAGAGGCTGTAGAGAGAGCGGATCCCTCACGTAATGCTGAGAGAGATATAATGATGTGCAATCACTGTAGCGCAGCGGTTCTCAACCCAAGGTCTGCGACCCCTTTGGGGGTCGACCAACTCTTTCACAGGGGTAGCCTGATTCAGAACAGGAGCAACACTAGAGTTACGACATAGCAACAAAAGTGATTATCTTGTTGGTGGTCAACACGACATGAGGACCTGTATCAAAGCTCACGGC